GTCCAGAGCACAACATATTTCACAGGAAAAAAATCCTATTGTCAAAGCAGGATAACATGTTTTTAGATGTAACTTGAGATACAAATGAATTTGAGCAATAAATTGCTCTTAGAGCTTGACTTTAAGGGAGGCAATACAGTGGGGTGGATCCTGCCACTCTAGTGAACAAAGTCCGAAGCCTTCCTCAATCTGCAGGAAGCCCCTCAGAGGACGGCTGGATCCACCCCAGTACTTATGTATGCATTTCCTTTTTATATGTACTATGAATGATAGATGAGACAAATAAGAACTCAAATACTAGGGAGAGGGGAAGGATCAGTATTTAGCAATCCAATCCAATGTAGTAATGTTGGGGAAAGTACTTCCTCATTTGCTACCTTCTAACAGCACCCCCAATGGCAAACACTCCTAGGCTGGACACAGACAGAAAAAGCTGTACAGCCATATTGGTCCACGCAAAATTCAATGTAATACCATTTCTTAAGACTAAATTGTCACAAAAGATTCAACAAGCTTTTGATACCTGATGAAAAGTGTTCGTCGCCTCAAAAGCTTGCACAATGCTTTCTGTCAACTGATACTATCATTATCTTTAGAGTAAAAAGGTAAAGGTTCCCTTGCTTGAAAGCCAGTCGAATCTGACTCTAGGGTTGCGGTGCTCATCTCCGTTTCAAAGCCGAAGAGCCAGTGCTGTCCGAAGACGTTTCTGTGGTCATGTGGCTGGCATGTCTAAACACCAAGGCGCACGGAACGCTGTTACCTTCCCATCGAAGTGGTACCTATTTATCTACTTGCAATTTCTTGCTTTCGAACTGCTAGGTTGGCAGGAGCTGGAACTAGAGACGGGAGCTCACTCTTTCATGCGGCACCCGGGTCTCGAGCTGCTGAACTACCGACCTTCCATAGCCTGCAGTTCAGCGTCTTAACCACTTGAGTCACCGCAGCTCCATCTTTAGAGTATTTTATTGCAAATTCCTGTTATCTAGAAACAGTGCACTGTAAGTCTTTACCAAACTCACAACATGCGTATTGGTACAGTAGACCTATCAGAAGCACCAGACATCCAAGTTCTGTAACCTCCAACTTACTACTATTTACTCAGAGCACAGGGAAAATACACCTAGGAAGCCGTGGACCTCAGCCTGCAAGATCTGAGCAAGACTGTTAATGATAGGATGTTTTGTAGGCCATTAATTCATAGGGCTGCCAGAAGTCAGAAGCGAATTCACAGCACGTAACACAGACACATAAGAACCAGTCAATGTGCAGAATGTGTCATATTTATCAACCATCGTTGTACTATGCAGCTCACATCCTGTCTAATTACACAGAAGCAAAGTCTACTGGTGCTCTCATATGCGACACTAACACTGTGATCCTAAGCAGTTACATTCTTCTAAATATATTAAAGTCAATGAGCTTAGAAGGGTGCAACTGCATTTGGAACTGCACTCTGAGAAGTACATTTAATCCTCCTGCAAACTTCACACCTCATATAAATGTTAATACAGATAACTCAAGAAAATCAAACACATATTCCAGCTTCACATGTGCATTAACAGATCTGAAACTAACCCAATTAAAGCCTCAAGTATGAATCCATCTAATGACTTTCCTTATCCAGTTTATCAATTTTAATCTACGATTGTTAAAACAAACCCCTTAAGCCTTTAATTTATCAGACTGAAGGCTCAGTATAGAATTATGAATGCAATACCTTAGAACAAAACAGCCTACATATGGCTGCATACCACGCATACCTTGTGATCCAGGACCTTCTGCCTCCAATTTACAATAATCCCTGAGTTATTCCACCTGCAAATGGACATACATCCAATGTAGACCCCACCATTTCTTTTTGCATTACTTGGCACAGTCATAAGGAAACAGAATGAAGGGTCTGAGCTCCACCAGTTGCCCTCTCTGGCTTAAAACCCAAGAAATAACATGACTATGTCCTCAGTTAACTAAAATATTTTGAGAACACCTTAAGATTGAAATTTTAATGCTGAACTGATGCACATCATTCGGTACACACTGGACACTTGATCTCACCCAATTGCAGAGCACAGTGTTAATTTGGTTGATACTATGCTCAAATTTAAGCAAGTCTAACTGGCTGAACTTTTTCATTTTATGTTTCTTTGCAGTTTAAGAATATTTGTGAGGACCCCCTGACTATCAGAAGATGATCTAATAACTTGCATGACTCATTATGCATCTTGGGAACAATTCTCATGTTAAGCATGCAGATTCAACATTTGTGTACAAAGATTATCTGTTTTTCTATCAGTGGTACTTAGACACTCTTATGATTCCTTTAATATCTCAAAACAGCTGGCATTTGGAGACCTTGTTAATATACAACTTAACAAAAATGAATTGAGATTTTGATTAAATATGAACTGAATAACATTTAAAATACTGAATATACAAACAATTAACCTTACTACAAAAAGGACAACGATTTTAAAAGGTGAATAGGACCTGTACTGCAAAGTATCTTTTCACATGGATGACATTTTTACAGCTTGTATACCTAAACAAATATTAAAATCTCATATACCCATTTTAAGAAACAAAAATATTGTTTCAAGGCTGTGCATATATTGCTCACAGTGACCCATCCTTAGAGGGTCCAAAGTTACAACTTTGATCCTTACAAACGTGTGTTTAAAATACCAGATGAGGCCTGTTTGTGTCTCCTGACTCAGAGCTCCTCTGTCTTAGCCTTGAAAGTTATAATAGCCTTGGGTCTTTAAGCACTGATGCCCAGACAACTGGAAAAGTTCTGTCCAAAGTCATAACTGACTTCAGTAACGACTATGCTAACACTTTGTTATTTAAGGGGGGAGTGGATTTTTCACTGGCTTGTCGTATCATACTTTAGAAAGGTTGCATGCAGCCCAAATGCTACAGATGTTTATTCAGAAAGGAATCCATGAGTCCAATGGAGCTTGATCCCAAATAAATAAATGTAAACAGAGTAATACATTAATATATGAAAGCCTACTGTACTATGTATACATTAATGCACATGTTTTATACACAGAGCAGACAGAGGTATAAATCTGAAGAGTCCTTTATACCGTCAAAAATTAGTAGTGTTTCAAAACTAAACAAATGCACTGGATCAAGTAACAGGTGGTCGTCCCCCCCCCAGACCATCGTGCAAGTTCTTGAGAACTATGTTCTTTTACATTAAGCCAAAATCTCTAATAGTTATTTAACAGAAAGGTTTGCACATACAATAATACGTGTGTCTACATCCCATCACACAAGTATCCCTCATCTATCATTTCTCACAGGCCATTTTCAAGAATCCTCATATCATTTGCATGTCGATTACTCATCCAAACGAAAAGCAAGTTACAAATGCTGCTATGGCAGCAAAACCAATTTTGACTACTCCAGCCCAAGGGAGACATCTCCCCCCCACGTCCCATACAGTAACATACAAAAGCTAGGCCTCAACTGCTGTTAACGTCAACTAGAAAACCATGATGGAGAGGAGAAAAATCTACCCCCCCCCAACACTCTTGAGTGTGTGGTCTGGACCATCACTATCAGAAACACCACAAAAGGAGAGTAGGAGTAGCCCAGTGCGCACATATGCAGGTACAGGTTCCTGGTCCTTACAATATCCAAGTCTGCCCATCACATACACATGCCCTGCTATGCAAGGAGAAGAATTTTGCTAGTGGTCTTTGGGGCAGGGGTGGAGAAGGGGAAAAGGCACATGACTTATCTCCCCAGCAGGCCCTGCTTTGAAACTTTAGGAACAGTGGTGGCGGGGTGGGTGGCGGCAGAAACCACAGCAAGGGGGTGTGTGTCCAGTCTGGTTGAGAGAGGGATTAGGGGCTGAGTCTGGCTGGAGATTTTACCCTGCCTGACATCCAAAACAAAAGGGAAGCTTGCCGGGCGTATTCTCTCCAGACAGCCCATTCCCCCTTCTCCACTTTACCAACCCCTCTCAGCAAAACCACCCAACCACCAACACTAAAAGGTGATAAGGACATGTTACTATAAAAGTAACCTTCCACATCGATGGCATTTTTACAACTTGCCTCTCTCAACAAAAGTTCAAAACCACATCTACCAGTCTCTTAAAACCAAGAACATGTCAGGGTTGGGCATACATCACATACTACTGGATATTATCCAGGCAGGGGTGCTCTGTGAGAAGGGGCAAGGACAGTGTTAACCTTCAACCCACAAGTACAACAATGGTGGAAACCCATGAACTCCACTAGTCATTTCCTATGCTATTCTGAAAAACCCCACCCTTTCCCCAAGGAGTCCAGGGCACTCCTCCCATCTCTCTTCCAGTTCACCTTTCCCAACCACTCCCCTGTGAGGCAGGCTGAGCAGAGAGCACACAAGTGGTCAGTCAGAAAACGTGGGATTTGAACCCAGGCCTCCCAAAGCTTAGCCCGACGACACCCTAAGACCACTTACACCTACAAGGCACTGCCCGGCCACACGGACTCACTGTTACTTGCTACAATCGTCGCCTGCAGCCCGCCTTTCCCGCTGATACTCAAGGCAGACGGCAAAATAAGAAGCAGCAACTCGGTTCTGAAAAGCGAGACCGCTGAGAAAGAACACAATGCAAAAATAAATAAATAAAAATAAACGCAATGCCATGTAAGGCATCACAACTGTACGTTCAACATGAGCAAGTTTTTGCCATGTAAGCCGCCCTGAGCCCTACGGGGGAGGGCGGGATATAAATTTAACAAATAAATAAATAAATAAACATTCGGCTATGTACGGTTTGACATAATTCGCGAATGTGGATGAAAAATAACTGCTGTTATTTACAATCCTTTTCTTTTAGAAAAAGTTATTTTAAAAAAATAAACCCCTGAGCAACTGTGCAGGCGAGTCGGGCCAGGTCTCTGTGCGCCGGGAGAGGCATCATTCCCACGGCGGGTCCAGCAAGGAAAAGGAAAGGAGGGGGGGGGGGAGAAGAGAGGAAGGGCTCCCTCCGTCCTCACCTGCCCAGTTCCCGGCCGGGGCTCAGGCTGTAGCGCTCCTGGAAAGGCTGGGTGAGGATCGGGGTCCGGATCTCGGTCAGAAGCCCCCCGCGCCGCGGCTGCTGGGGCGTCCGGCTGCTCCGGGAGCGGCTCGGCGGCGGCGGCGGCTTCTCG